AATGCATTAAGATTTCTCAAAAACTATGGTAGATACGAAAAAATGTTTCAAACAAAAGTTGTATGGTTCGGAGAGGGACTTCAGAAGATATCATTGATTTGACCTTGGGTGGTGTCGCCAAGGTCAGGTCAAGGTCAGTCAAGTCGATTTTTTTAAATGGAATCTCCTATTTTTCATTACATTTTCTTGTAGCTTACCTCGAGAGGTTTTCAAAGCACTATAATTAAATATTTTTTCAGTAAATATTTTTCTAGTTATAAGGTTTTCTAGTCGAAAGTTACAGTACAGTCGGCATTAGCATTACGCAAGTTGTCCGACCGACGACTAAAACCTTTTGAATATTGTTTAGGATCATGTCTTGGATAACATTTGTTAAGATCAAGGCTTTGGAGGTTGTACCTCTTATTTTCATTTTTACGTCAAATTGAATTTTTAGTGTAAAAATGGAAATAAGAGAAACAATCTCCAATGGTCTTGATTTTAACAAATGTTATCCAGGACATGATCCTAAACAATATCCAAAAGGTTTTAGCCGTCGGTCGGACAACTTGCGTAATGCTAATGCCGACTGTACTGTAACTTTCGAGCCTTATAACTAGAAAAATACTTACTGAAAAAATATTTAATTATAGTGCTTTGAAAAGCTCTCGAGGTAAGCTACAAGAAAATGTAATGAAAAATAGAGGGTTCCATTTAAAAAAATGTGACTCTGACCTGGCCTTGGCGACGCCACCCAAGGTCAAATCAATAGTACCTTCTGATGTCTTCCTCCAAACCATATAACTTTTGTTTGAAACATTTTTTCGTATCTACCATAGTTTTTGAGAAATCTTAATGCATTATTTAAAATGGGACATGTATATATACGTATAAATAATAGCAAAATATATTATGTACTGAATAATAATAAATAAAAATAATTATGCATACTTGGGCATTCCAAAATTCTCCTTGTCTTGTTTAGCTGCATCTTTTAAGTAAGTAGGCTTTAGTCTGATTGGAATCGGTGAAATCAGAGGTATAACGGGTGATACACGTTTCAGCCATTCTGCTTCTTCATCCGATTCTTCCTCAATTAATCGCAATCCAGGAAAACGATGCATAAATTCTGGTATAACACATTCAGGTGAGGACGAACTTACAATAGTATCAGGAGAGTCCACATCGCGATTAGTCGTCATATTCTCTTTCTTATCATTATCTACAAAAGAACAATTTTATTTAATATTTTTATATAAAGAATTTAAATATTTTATTATTTCTCTTATAAATATATATAAATATATTTATATTATCTTTTCGTTCATTTTTATATCATATAATATTATTTTTACTATTTTACTAATATTATTTTTCTTTATATTCTGTTATTACGCTGATTTGTATTTTAAAAAGACAACGATAAAAGATATAAATGGAGAAAAAATATATGAAAGACATTTATATTATATATATAGAACATGGAAATATAAGATAGTATTTATTTTTAATAATTTGTACTTAACTTAACTTATTAATCTTAACTCTAAAAAGATATGAACTAAATGAAACTTTTAAATCGAGTTTTTGTTTCGAGATCTTAATTCGAAATTAAGGAAATACATATAACGAAAGTCTTTAGTTTAAATAGATAATTCTTAATAGCAAGCAGCACAATTCGCAGAAATAGAAATGAGTTAATTCTATGCGTTAATTATATGACTCTGTAACATAATAGAAATAATCTTAAGTAATTTCAGTCAAAGGAGACCTTTTTATATCCAAAGCGTGATAAAACGGACTTCTAACCGATATCACAAGAGTAACCAGAACAGACTGCTAGCCGTTTACATATAGACTTAATAAAACGGACTGCTAGCCGTTTAAAGAGAAATTTCTTTTAAAAGTTACCTGGTAAGACGTCAAACCGAATGCAATAGTTCAAATTCAAGATCCTTCTCATTTTATCAGTGCGAGCTTAATCGTTAGACTTCCTTTATTTGCTTCCTTCAATTCGACACAGGCTTGATAATCGCTTCAAGTTAGGCTCACAGCCTCAATTGGCTATAAGCCCCTCACCTTGGTGTCGAATTAATATCGGAACTAATAACTTCTAGTATTGGAGGTCATAGAATCCTCCTCTTTTCCTTTTTATCCGAAGAATATACAAACGATAACAAGCTAAGATGGCTGAATCATCCGCACGACCCTCAATCAACGCGCCAACAACATGGCAGGACCTTCTTCTTCCTTCGAAGAAGGAAGCACGCAGCGCTACTACACGATTAACTTAGGTCGGTATTCATAGTCAGATCTTATATTTAAGACCGTCTTAAGTTCAGCCTTGAGGTGTCATGAACCAATCAGAAAGCCGCATTAGCGTCTTAAGACATTACTTAAGACGGTTTTGAAATAAGAACCGACTATGAATACCGTCCTAAGACCGGATTATGACCGGTATTCATAGTCAGATCTTAAATTTCCACGCGCGTAGTGTTACCAAAAAATGGTAACTTCTTTTATCATTATACTACCGTAATTTTTAACATATTCTTATATCCTTATTATTTCTTCCCTTTCTTTTTCTTATTTCCCCTTTTCCATTTCTTTTCTTAATCTTATAAACTTTTTATAATTGAAATAATTAATAGTAAATTTGTTTATAATTTTATAATTATATCATCATTATAAAATATAAATATAATAAATGATTTGCTCACCATCGTCCAACTTTAAAGGCGGAAATTCTTGATCATAAAATCCTCTCTGCGTAGTCGAGGGTTGTTGAGGTGACAGAGGGTCTAATTCTCCAAATGGCTGTGTATTATAATGATCAGAAATTCCAGGTAAACTGGCTGATCCATAATTTCCAATCAAATCGCCAATTCTAGCGTTATAATCTTTCTGACTTCCAATCTTAACAAGATCTCCGCAACCGAAAATCGGGCATACCCCATAATTACGACTCAACTGAGGTTCCAGAACCGCCATCGGCTGAAGTTGTCGCAACTGGGTCATTAAATTGTCCACAAATGTGTCATAATCCTCATCAAGACGCGAGATTTTACGGGAACGTTTTTTCTGAGGTGCAGTTACGGCATCCTTTCCCTGGCTTTGCTTTCTCTTCTGTTGGTACTGTCTCCTCTTCAACTTCTTAAGATCTAAAGCGTTCCAGACGCCATTGTTACAATTTGTTATAAATTTGATTTAATAAAATCTTAATATTACATTTACAAACTTTGTAATATAATTTAATTTTGTGTAAGAAATAAACACGATAACTTGTATATACATATACAGGAAGAAATGTATAATATATACTTCTTTTATTTCATATAATATAATATATACTTCTTTTATTACAGGGTGTCTCACAACTACCGCATTTCCTCTTAAGAACGTATTCTTGAGGTAATTTTTAGACGAAAATCCTAATACAAAAATGTCGAGGCTACAATAGCTTTTTAATTATAATTGGTTAAAGATAGTGTGTAATTCGAAAACTGTTACATCCTCGATATTTTCGTATTAGGATTTTCGTCTTAGAATATTCAAAAGAATCCAAAAATAATAGTAGAGGCTAATATAAAAGTAAAATGGTTTTTGATTTATAAGCATTTAAAGTTAGCTTATAATTAAAAAAATTATTGCAGTCTCGATATTTTCGTATTAGGATTTTCGTCTCAAAATTACCTCAAGAATATATCCTTAACAGAAAATGCTGTAATTGTGAGACCTATATATGTATAAAAGAAGTATATATTATACATTTCTTCCTAATATAAAATAATAGAAATATAAATATAAATAAATATAAGAAATAAAGAATAGTAATATGTTAAAACAAACTATGTTACATAGATGTTACTTACCAGTTTTATCATCTATTGCGCCATCTATGAGTTCCTCTTTGGTAGTGAGAAAGTCTTTGGTATCCGTCTGCAACTGACTGGCTGATGTTGTGGCAACAGTGGACAAAACATCCTCAAGACCAATTTCTTTCTTAATCTCGACTAAAGGCACTGTATTGGAACCTGATGGGGTAACGGACCCCATAATGGTTTGTGATGGAACCGCGACGGTCCCGTGACTATGAGGCACTTGTTGCTGAATAGATTGTTGCTGAACGGAAGTAGTCGAAGAAGAAGGAACTTGTTGTTGTACCACTGTTGGCTTCTGCACGACTGGAGCTTGGTTTTGAGACTGTGTTTGGACTTGAATTTGTGATCCAGATACGTTATTAGAATTACTGGTCGCTAATTGAACGCTCTTCGAGGCAATTCCAGAGGTTGCTACTGGTTTATTTTGCAAAGCATGTTTAGAAACAGTAATGCGTTGTTGAGTTTGAAGTCCTTCTCCGCTGATGCCAGTACTCAGTTTGCTTTGACTTACAGAAGTCTCTTGCAAATTTGTAGAAATATTCGGAGACGTTTTTGTTGTTGTTATTGTTGAAGAAACTGGTTGACTTGATATAGAATTTCCCAAAGAACTTGCTGAAGAAGTAGGAACTGACTTTGTTGTTTGTTGCTTCAAGCTTTCAGTTTGTGCTCTTTGTGTTACAATCGAACTAGATAATGAAAGAGGAGGTTTCGCAGATTCCTCTTTAGTTGGTGAACTTTGAATCTTTAAGGGTGTTACTGAATGCGATAAAAAAGAAGTTTCCCTCGCAAGAACTTGTTTTGTTACTGGCTTTGTTGTTGGGGTTTCGTTCAGTAACTGAGGAAGCAAAGATGGTGGCGTAGGTAAAACTGGCCGAGCCAGTTGCGCTTCCAGCGAAGGAACTATCGGCAGACTGGGCCCTTGTGACGATCCTGAAGTCGTAGGACATGCCGTATTTTGCAATAGTTGCTTCAGCAATACATTTTGGGAATCCTCTAATCTTAAAGAATTAGAAGAACTTTTACTGGAATCTATTTCTCTCTTTTCTTGGATTTTGGATTCTTCAGAATCTTTTTTCACTGTAGATTGATTGTCAAGATCGTTATTTTTATTCTCCATTGGTAGAAGACCAGAAGATTTAAATTGGTTTTGATTAGAGGTCAAAAGGGGACTTGGAGCTTGCGATAAAGTCGATTGAAGAATACTAGATGTACTTGAAATACCACTAGAAGTTGCCAAAGGTGGTACAATAGTTCTAATACATTGCATTGAGCTAGTTACAGCTGAACTAGTATTTACCAGTACTCGAGAGGGTGTAGAACATCCTGAACTGACTTGAAGGATTGCTTGAAGATTTTGCGAGCGTTGTATTGAAGTCGATGGTAAAACAGAACTCAAAAGATTGACTGCAGATTGGGTTGATATTGTGTTACTTCGACCATGACCAGCAATTGAAGGTTTTAAGGAAGTAGTCCCAGCCAGCATGGCATTCAACATGGCGTTTGAAGTGATGGAGATCGAAGTTGTAATGCTTCTAGAAGTAACTGCAGCCGAAGAAGTACTTGAAAGATTAGAAGCTGTAGTAGTCTGAAAAGTTGTTCCTGAAGAAGTCATCCTGAAGATCTGTTCGCTATTATTAATTTTTGAGCCTGTAGTAATAATTCCGCTACATTCCTTTAATTCTTTTTTTTCTTTTATAACCATTTCTGTATCTTTCGAAATATTGCTGATCAGATTAGGTTGAGAACGACCTTGATCCAATCTTGTCAAAGTCGAAACTCCACTTTGAACATTATTTGATGAATTCAATGTCGACAAGGCACTAGAAGTAGATAAAACACTTCCAGATTTCACTGAAGAAACCATGGTGACCACTCCGGTTTGATTCACTGTTGTTTGATTGCTTTGTAAAGATGATAGCAATGTTCTCAGTTGATGAGATACGTTAGCTACGTTAGAAGTCAATTCTGTCGGTTTCGAAAGTGGTGATAAATGAGGAACTGTTGTTGTGCTTTTTTGCAATTGTGCCACGGTACTAACTATCAAAGTGGGAGCTTGACTCATTGCTGGAGAACTCTTTTTCACTTCAGCATTTTGACATTTTACTTCATTTTTAGGTTCAGTTGACGAAATTTCATTTTCGAGATTTTCTTGTTCTAAATCCATTAAAGAATCTTGAAGAATATTTAAGGGCAAAGTATCTAACGGAGTTGGCATTTGATAAATAATACTCGACTCGTTACTGTTTGCCATTTCCGGTTTTGATGAAATAATATTGTGTAACATATCTAAAATATCATCAGATGATTCTTCTATTAATGTCTTTTCTTCATTCAAACAATGTTGAAGAAATGGTTTGGAATTTTCCATTTCCGTACACTGTTCTTCCTGATGATTCTTTTTATTTGTGTTTTTGTCATTAGTCTCTTCAATATTTTTTCGGACTTCCTCTGATTTATTTGTTACTTTTTGCATATCAGAATCTGAAGAAATTTGTTCTTTATCATTTTCCACCGGTTCAGTATCATTTTCCAAAATGTTGACGAGCGACAAATCATCAGTAACAGGTGACATTCTTTTCAGAGTCGTCGTTGGAATATCATTCTTATTTTCAACATTTTCTGCAGGATTGTGAATAGCTTCTAACATACTCTCCAGTTCATCCGTGGTATTTAATGGATCAGTTTTCTTCTCTTCAATCGACTCTGAAAAAATATTTGATGATGTATCCAAAGAATTATTTTCATCTATAATCTTATCCTGGAGCTCTTTCTCTTTTTTTATTTCACTTTCTTGATTTTCTGTTAATTTCTCTTTACTCTTTGAGATAGTATCCTTTTTCGACAGATCTGGAATTGACATTTTCGGAGTCGAGAGCGTCACAGAAGTTGATTGTACACTTAGTACCAATCTCGTGGGATTGTTCAGAGATTCCGTATTTGGTAAACTCGAAAAGGTTGTCGAAGGCTTCTCTGAGAATAATATTTTCGGTATTTCATTGACAGAAATGATTTTCGGATTCAATTTATTTTGCTGAGAATTGGATATATTCTCCAGAGCAGTTTGACTAAGTTTCGCAGCAATTTTTGCATCTGCCACAATGCTCGCCATCGATGACAATGTAATACCTTTCTGATTGGTAGAAGAACTCGAGGAAACTTCTTTTAAGTCAAAGTGATCTACCATTTTAGTTTCTGTCACAATTGGTTGAATTGAAATATGACTCAGTTGAGAATTAGAATTAGTAGAAACTAAACTGGAAATTAAATTTGAAGAAGTAGTATTTATTAAAGAAACCATCGATTTTGAGACTGTTACATTAATATTAGTTGGGTATATAGTTGAAGCTAGTGTTTTGGTATATGATTTATCTGAAAAGATAAAGTTTGTAGGACTCTTGTTTTGTTTTAAAGATTTGGTTTGGTCATCTGTCGAGCCTTCATCAAATGTATTTTCTTTAGAAACATCAGTTTGTATATTATTATCAGTTTTTTCAATCTCTTCATCACAAGAACCCTTAGAAAGATTGTCTTCAGGTGATTTCGTTGTGGGATCGATGATAACCACTTCTGATTCACTTACTAAAGATACCATAAGTTCTTGATCAGGAGACTGATCTAAATAAGGACCTGGAGAAGGATCAACTCGAAGTTCTTCTTGATCTGGAGATTCGGGAGTATCAGTTACAGCGACTAGCTTTTTTCCAGACTGAAAGGCCCTCACTATGTCAAGTCTAAGACCCTTTTTATTTCTTGAATGAGACGGGACTAAATCTTCGTCACTCAAAATAGGTTCTTCTGATTGTGATTCAGAATTATCAATCTCTAAAATCTGCACTAAGTCATGACCTTGACCAGCATCATTCACTAAAGCATGACAAAGAGAATCGTTACTATCAGCAGAAAGGTCCACCACCATTCCAGGTTCAAATAGAACATATTCTTCCTGCATATCACCTTCTAAAGTTCCTGAAATAACATCAACTAGTTCTGAATCACCGAACTGTTCAATCACAGTGATATCATCACTGTCGCGTTGAGCTGTGGAACTCAAAGTCACTTCGGTATTAACTATAGTTTTATCGTCATCATAATCTGTTGTATCTGGAAGTTGGTCCAATTTTTCTCCAGGACTTTCCAAAGTTAAAGATCCATTATCTAAAGTTGAAGAGGTCAAAGAAGAGCCTTGACCAGTTGATTTTATCTCTAAAGTTGTTGGCGAAGCTTGTGGCGGCGTATGAGAATCGTCGTCAAAGTCATTATAGTCGACACAGACTAATGAGCTGATTCTAGCGGTTTTCCGATTCATAGAAGTATTTGCTTTCTCTTCTGTAGACTGATCTCTTTTCGTTTGGGATGTTTCCGATCCTTTACCACCTTTACTACTATCTGCTTTGCTTGACCACATTGGCGATCCTCCTCTTAAGCCCAACTTGAACCATCCAAATCGTCCAAAATTAGGGAATCGTATTGGTTTTGTAGATTTATTACTATTTTCCTCATTTTTAATAAAATTTTCTGATGAAAGAACTTGTTCTTGAGAAATTTGTTGACGAATCTGATCCTTATCATCTGATGAGCCGCCCTTTAATCCTAATTTAAAATATCCAGTCTTCGCAAAATCAAGAAAAGGAATAGGATTTAAGGGATTATTGGAGTTTCCTCCACCTCTAGAAAGATTATCTGATAAAGAAGTTTGTTCCTGAGAAACCTGTTGAGGAATTTGCTGAGAAACTTGTTGTTGATCACTTGGAGTTACAGTTAAATTAGTATTTTGTTGGACAAAATTATGAGGTGTATGAGGTGTCCTTGGAGTTCCAGGATTTTCCACACTTTGGGGTCTGTCTGGCATAGCGGGACTATTTCCAGTAGATTGTCTTCGCTGTATTTGCATAGGAGATCCAGCTACCATAGGACTTCTAGGCATCATAGGAGAGCTGGGTGGTTGAGTAGTTGTCGAAGAATGATGATGGCTACCATGAAGCATTGGTGAAATTCTGTTCATTGGACTAGGAGGTTGTGAAGTCGCATTTAATTGTTGTTGAAGCATCGGAGAACCCATCGTTGCCTGTTGCACCATAGGTGAACTTGGAGGTTGACCATAAGTTTGTTGAAGTTGCTGATGAAGCTGTGGACTGGGGGAATTTGATGGCTGAGACACCATCGGTGAGTTAGGCGGTTTCTGTTGCTGTTGTTGCATTTGCAAGAATTGTCTTTGCTGTTGTTGCTGGAGAATATGCTGTCGTTGCTGAGCCATTTGGAGTGATCTTGGACCAATAGAATTCTGCCCTTCTTGAGAAATACCCTGAGAAACACCTTCATGTTGTTGTTGATGAAGAATTTGTTGACGTTGCTGAGCCATTTGAAGTGATCTTTGAACAATAGAAGTCTGTCCTTCTTGAGAAATTACTTCATGTTGCTGTTGCTGTTGATGAAGAATCTGTTGTCGTTGAACCATTTGCAAAGGTCTTTGAGTAATAGCACTTTGTCCTTCTTGAGGAACAGATTGAGAAACACTTTCATGTTGTTGCTGTAAAATTTGTGGTCGTTGTTGGGCTAGTTGTAATGATCTTTGAGTAATAGCGCTTTGTCCATCTTGAGAGATGCTTTCATGTTGCTGGTGTTGTTGAAGGATTTGTTGACGCTGTTGTGCCATTTGTATTGATCTTTGAACAACATTTTGTCCAATTTCTTGAGAAATATTCTGTGAAACATTTTCATGCTGCTGTCGTTGTTGCGCTATTTGCAAATGTCTTTGAACAGTAATATTTTGCCCATCTTGAGAAGTACTTTCCTGTTGGTGCTGTTGTTGAAGAATCTGTTGCCGTTGTTGAATCATTTGTAGCGTTCTAGGAATAGAATTTTGAGGAATTTGTCCTTCTTGAGAAATACTTTGAGAAATAACTTCATGTTGTTGTTGAAGAATTTGTTGCTGCTGCTGAAGAATTTGTTGTCGCTGCTGCACAATCTGTAAGTTTCTTTGAGCAGCAACGACATTATGATTTTCTTGAGGAATAATATCATTCTGTTGTTGTTGCTGCTGAAGAATCTGTTGTCGTTGCTGTTGTGAAACTACTTGCAACGATCTTTGAGTAACGACATTTTGTCCATCCTGAGAAATGCCTTCTTGTTGTTGTTGTTGCTGCTGTTGAATAATTTGTTGCCGGGTCGTTTGCAAATTTCTTTGAACGACAACATTTTGTCCTTCTTGAGAAATGATATCAGTCTGTTGCTGTTGAAGAATCTGTCTTTGTTGAACCATTTGTAAATTTCTTTGAGTAATAAGATTCTGTCCATCTTGAGAAATATCATTCTGTTGCTGCTGTTGAAGAATTTGTTGTCGAGAAACACCTTCGTGTTGTTGTTGTTGTTGTTGAAAAACTTGCTGCCGTTGCAATGTCCCCCGAACAATAGTACTTTGACTTTGATCCTGAGAAACGCCTTCATGCTGTTGCTGAATAATCTGTTGCCTCTGTAACAACTGTTGATGCTGTTGTTGATTCAATAACTGTTGCTGTCCTGACTGTGGATTGTAAACGATACCTCCTCTCCTTTGCGCCCCTTCTGGTGGTCTGACAAATCTCTGAGTTAAACTATGAACTCTCACACCCTGATCAACTATCAGTTGTTGATTTCGCGTTTCCGGCGTAAAAGCACCAGGAGAAGTTGCCAATCTTCCGCCAATAATAGCTCTATGCTGTGGTGAAGTCATTCGTGTAGTGTTGGGATTGCATAGACCCGGAGAAGGCATTGGCCCAGGACTAAAGGGACTTTCGTCACCTTGAGAATGGGGAGTGCCAATTCTTGGCGATTGTTGCTGAACATTATGCGGTGACATTGTACCTGGATTAGACGATTGAGGGTTGCCTGGACTATGTTGAAGCAGCGGTGTGCCTGGACTATGTTGAACAATTGATGGAGTTGCTGGTGAATGTTGAATCATGCTAGGACCAGGACTCTGAGAAACCAACGCAGCTGGAGAATGCATCGGAGAATGCTGAGAAGGTGACATCAATGGAGAACAAGGTTCGTTTGGTTGGGGTTGAATTTGTCGTTGTTGTTGTTGTTGTTTGTTATGATATTCCTGAACCAATACGCTGTGTTGACGCTGTTGTTTACGAGAAGTATCTAAATGTTTTTGAAGAATAGCTTGTTCAGTAGAAATCCGTTGTAGTTCAGCAGCGTCGGTCTCTGTCAGTTCGTTACCAGATTTACGAAGCTGACGTTGCTTACTATTGAGAGACTGGAGGGAAATAAGATAGAGAAACATGAAAAACATAAAAATGTAGAACAAACTAAAATTTAAGAATTAATATTAATTGTAAGATTAAAGTGTATTAATATATACTGTAAAGATATTTTAGTAAACAATATTATATAATATTTAGTTAATTTTAATTAATATAATATTAGTTTATTATAATTTACCTTTCTTATTTTCCGAAGTTTTTGGACCTCTGCCTCATAATATTTTAATTGTTGCGTTAATAATTGATGCTGACTATTAAGCCATTGCTCATAATGCGCATGCATTTGCCGATCTTGATCATTAGCTATATTTTCTGGTGGAGTTGGTGGTGCCGGTTTTTGAGGAATGTTGAACATAGCCACTCTTGCTAAAAATTAATGCAAATATAATTATATATAATAAATTGAATTATTGTATAGATTTAAAATAATATATATCTAAAAAATATATGTTTTTTCATTAAATGTATTCATTTCATCAATAAAAATATTAATAATCTAAAATATTATTAAAATATCATTTAAATATAAGTGAAATAAATTACAAAATTTTTCTTATTTAAATAAGATTCATCGAGAGAAAATTCAACAAAAAAAAAATTCTAATAAATTTTAATAAAAATTAATAAACACTAAATATAACTTATTTTGTAACTTAATTTACTTTTTATCGTAATAAATTAATTGACATTCAATTATTAAATAACTATCCGACAAAATAATTAATAGATACTACTAACGTTCGGGTGGAGTTTGTGTGGCAATTGGTTGTCTCGATCCCACTTGCGCCGCTGCTAGCTTTACCGCCCCATCAGTAGCTATGCCACTTTGCTGCCAGTTAGTGTTAGGTGTGGAAGGTGATCTCGCTGTACAAGGTGGTCTTATCACAGGCACTATACCCTGAGGAGGTGACGTAGTACCCAAAACATCAGCTTTGAATTTTTCAAAATCGCTGTCGCTCAAAAGACTTCCTCCAGTGACATTTTCGGTCTGTTGTTGTTGTTGTTGTTGTTGTTGTTGTTGTTGTTGTTGCTGCTGTTGTTGTTGCTGTTTTTCTTGTTCTCGTTTCTCCTGCTCTAACAGCTCCTCCAGCAATAATGGCTGCTCCTGTGAACACGACTGCTGACAGTCAAGGTCGATTTTTGATACAAGGAGTGCTACTTCGAAGGTCTAAAGGCTAAAATTTCTATTGCATTAGGATTGAATATTAAATTGTAAAGTCAACTAAAATTACAGCTATTACGTATGTAAATAGTTCAAATAAAATTTATATATACATAAAAAAAATAAACGTAGATAAAATGTGTGTGGATAAACATTATTGCAAATTAATTTGAATTTATATTTCCAATAATATTATATTTTATCTTTATAAATATATAAATAACAAAAAAATTCATAGCCTACTATGAATTAATATTACACAAACATGCAAACAATTTCAACATTGATACGTTGATTATAAAAAAGCATTATTCTAAAAAGCATCGTGTTGCTTCAAGGAAGAATTAAGCAAAATTTAGTAAAACAGATTTTGTCAATGTTAGTAAAATTAATTTCGTGCAGAATGGATGCAAACATTTAAAAGAGCATAAAATCTATAATAGATTAAATATAGAAAAGGAGTGTAAAAAAAAATACAAATGTCAGTGACTTTTTTACTTTTATAATAGGTAATGAAATATTAGTCAACATAAAAATTTTTTTTTTTCAATTAAATTTATGATCAATATTTAATTTTTAAATATCTGATCTTATTAATATATATGTTACATTTCATAATAAATAAATTAATAACAAGCAAATAAATATTTTTCTATATTATTTATTTTACCTAGAATATAATATCCTACAAGATAGATTTATCTTTTAATTACGTTCTAAAAAAATATTAAAAGGAAAAAATTCTTCGGAAGTTAAACATAAAATGAAGATTTATATTTAGATTTATTTCTTCTTGTAATGTTAGAATGCCCCAAATCTCGCTCACCTGCAGAAGCAAAGGTCTTCGGTGAGGGTGCGGCACCACAGGTCCCATTGGCGGACCTGCCACCGGTACCTGGTGCCCCGTCATATGAACCGAGGGCCGCGTCATACCTCGCCCACCACCACCACCACCCGGGCATAGTCCCATCTAGACACATGCACCAACACCAAATGCATATTGCAAACTTGCACACTCAGGCCAAAAACACTAGCCAATTTTCTTACCACTGCCATTACTCTTTCCATTGCCATTTAAACATTTTTCAGATTTATACTGTTTTATGTAAACATAATTAAAATATGACAAGAATAATAAAGCAAAATTTCCATTAAAATGTATCTCAAAAACAATTGCTTTTAAAACTTTAAGTTAATATAACTTCTAAAATAAAGTATTTTAAACTATATCTCTCTATAATTTATAATTTTTATGTAAAGATTATAATTGTAAAAGAAAATAAAAGAAGAGATTAAAAATACATTTAATTAATAAAATATTAAATTCAATATAGTATATTAGCAATTCTTTATAATGTCTCCCGAAAAAGAAAATGTTTTGGCACTAAAAGTGTAAGATCTATTATTTAGCTACGCCTACAATTAATGCAATTTTTTTTAGTTTTAGTTTCGCTTTCCGATCAAATTATTCTAATTAAAGCATGATTTTATTATAAATTTGTTATCGTTTGTTTAATATAGTCTAGTAAAAATATATTAATTGAATTATATATTTAAGCTTTTTTTGTATTTTACTAAATAATTTTCTTATGATTTATTAGTACAATTATTAAAAATTTTTATAAAACATACTCTTATATTAAAAAAAAACTTCCATATAAATATACTTTAAATAAAACTTTTATACAGGAAATATTATTTAACATATATTTCTAAAAATATCTATTATTTTTAAGTGGCAGCTTAGCAAAATATGAAAAATTATTTCTATTTGATACTGCACACAGCCACACAAAATATTTTTTAAATAAACTTAACAGATATGCGAAACTGACTGACACATATATTATACATGCAATCATGAAACGTTTTATTAATTATATGTTATATAAACGTTAACAAACCGTGTTATGTAATTAATTATTAACAATAAAGTTTTATGTGAGTTATCAATATAGTCTCGCATTGGAGTTATCATTATTTTGTTTATCCTATTCACAAATTTTTGTGAATTTCTTTATAAATCTTTATTTTTTGTATAAGAGTATTATAGCGTCCGTATTCAGAACGCTCTTACAAACGACGTTAGCGTGCTAACATACTATACTTTATGTCACGCATATTATAGAATTTCAGAGATAAAAACGCGCTTTTATCGATAAAAGTGCGTTTTGAATATGGGCCAATAATGTGTACATATATACGCGCGCGCGCGCTCGTGTGTATGTGTGTGTGCGCGCGCGCGTGCGCATATTTACATGTGATTATCTCATATGGATAGTTATCGTTACAAAAATTTAACAAAAGCATATTTTATATTTTAATTCATCAATTATGCTCACTAATCCCTTAACTTTAATGTGATTAATTTGATTTTCTCGCAATTACACAAATATTAAAGCGATGCATAAATTACCAAAAAGATTAATGTAAACATCGACACTTACCTGTATTGGTCCAGGATATGGCGGTGGTGGTCCTGGATAAGGGGGTGGTGGTGGGGGTGGTGGTGGTGGTGGAGCCAACTGCCCAGCCGTTGTTGTTGAGAGACTATAACAAAAATAAATATAGATATGAAATATCAAAATTAAAGATTTGCATAAAACATAATGTAAAATATTATACAAATATTATTCAAAATAATATCTATTATTTTATATAATTATTTTATTTATTTTATATATTATATTAAAGGTAGGATTACTATAGCTAATTATTAACTAATTTGAGATTTTTCTAAAATATAATTTTAGAAAACACAATCTAATATTTAAACTCCAAAAGAAACAAATAAAATATTATAAGTAATTTTTTTTAACTTTACCTTGTATATGTGCCTGCGAAAGTCTTTGCGGATGTCCGGGAAAATTCGATGGATAGCTCACAGTTACCGTGTTTGTGGAAGTCACCACTCCGACTGCTCCATCTGGTGAAAGCAACCTTGTACCGGGAGGTATTGGCCGGCCCATCGCTGCCGCTTGTTGCACTTGCTGATGCATCTGTTGCTGCACTACTTGCGCCTGCATTGCCTGCGATGTCGTCTGCGGTGATGTTATTGTCGACACGTTGGAATTTTCTGTCAGAGTCAAACTCGTGCTCGTCGAGCAGGAATCAGTAATATCAGAGGCTGGACCAGTCAATTCTGGTTTCTGATCTTCGTCCCTAGTTTCCTTTTTTTGCTTATCGTCTTTGGAGTCAACTTCAACTTGCTCAAGATCCAGATTATCAAGAATATTAGTCTTCTCCCCACCTGCGATCGTGTCCAGTTCAGGGTCCGCATATTCCAGAATGTTAAAGTCCGCCCCCATTTCAGCTTCAAGAATAATAATTATTCAAAAATAAAACTAAGAATAAATTCTTAGTTTTAAATCTTGTGTTAATTTGTATAAGAAATTCGTTCTCGACTTTCATTCAAAACTAATGTGTGTGTGTGTGTGTGTGTGTGTGTGTGTGTGTGTGTGTGTGTGTGCGCGCGCGTGCGCGCGCGCGCGTGTGTATTACGAGCGTAAAGTTCACATATGTTCACATATATAATACATATAAATCAATTTTAAAAATGGAGTGAATTTTTTTCTCATATATATATATGTATATATGATAATTTTCTGTTTAATTCTAAATTTTGAAATTCAAATTCCTTCATATTTTTTTCATTTTATTATGCAATACACACAGAGAGACTTACCGAGCAGTTCGTCATCATCATCTGCCAGATCTCCTAATATTGCACTAACTCCTTCGACTTCGACCATTGGACCGGCTCCTTCCTGCTCCAGCTTTTCCAATTCAGCTGTCACATTGTCGGGGATCTCAGATGCTTCTGAAGTAACCACTCCCACGGTCTCGCTCATCGTCGTGGAAACGAGTGGTGCTCGTACCATCCCTGGAGTTGTATTCAACATACGAATACCTTGATTTAAATTGTCCTGTGCTGTCCGCGCGACACGCTGATTCTGCGTCTGATTCACGTCTAAAAAAGGTTTTTTATTTTGTTAAAATCTTTGTAAATTTAATTTTTTGTGGTTGTGAAACATAAAAACTTTCTAACATTTTAAATTATAATTTATATAAAAGGCTACAAAAAAAGATGAAAATTTAAATTTAGAACAATATAAATGCTCACGCATATTTAAATTTTTTGGAGATATTACCAAGCAATTGCGACATCGGTCTGCAATTAGGACATATATTAGTAATCCTTTTTCACTATCAATGTTACAGTACAACAGTTGAAAACGATTAAACATTAGTAATACCTTGTTTTTTATTTATTAAATTTTTAAAATATAGAAAAAACCAAATTTTGTGTAATCATTACTTTCACTTTTTTAAAAACAAATAACTTTTGTATGAATTATCTCTTTAAAAAATATATTGCTTTCGAAATATCGTTTTGCATAAAAAATTTTTTTTTATTTACCTGTAAATCTCTGTTGTTGCAAAATATCATAAGATTCGGAAATGGTATTTCTCGTTACTGGCATTCGTATTTGGAGGTTTTGAGTTGCTTGGAAATGCTGTTGAGCAGGTACATTAGTAGCTACTGGGGGTCTATTCTGCAGTAATGTCCTAGTACGATGGTCAATCGGATTCTGAATATTTCCTGCTACAGGATGTCGCGAGTTTATTCCTATATATAAATTCATATATCATAGAGAGAAACTTTATATAAAAATTACAAATTTTAATATAAAAGAAAAAAGTTAATATAATATAATAAATTTATTTGTCTTCTTTCATGGTCGATGCCAACGTTTTGTGAACCATGCTGTTCACTTCATTAGGGCGAGGGATGCACTGATACAGTATCAGTGTACCCCTCGCCCTAATGAAGTGAACAGCATGGTTCACGAAACGTTGGCATCGACCATGAAAGAAGACACGGTGATAACCCGCAAACCCTCTAATATAATTTATATAGGTATTGTACAAAAAGTTAAATATTATATAACAAATATTTGTTATACAGGGTGTCCCAAAACTGACTAAGGTTGTCACAGAAAATGAACTTTAAACCTGACTTTTTCAGATTTTCCAGGTGAAAATGGAAAATTATCCAACATAAAATATGTAAATTTTAACACATTTAGAATTAAGGATTGTAGGAAAGCTAGCCTATATTATTAAAAATAACGTAAAAAAGGCTTAGTGGCATAATAAAATTTTGAGTGCGAATTCAAGCCAACAAAAAATAAATTACTATTGGAAAAAAGAATACAGTTACGAAAAAGGTTACAAATAAAAATACTGAATAAAATATAAATTTTAATTATTTTATTAAAATCGTTTAAAGTGCGCGAGTTTTGAACGTGGTAAATATTTTGTTTTTAGGGGAGCCCCCTTAACAACCTTGATCTTGACATATGTTGTCAAGCTCATGATCCTGAGTAACCTCCAACAAGTTTTAGACGTCGCTCGTTACTCGTTAAAAAGTTATTAGGAAGGAAAGTTTGAAAAATGATGTCTTTTTCACTATATAGAATAAAAATTTCCTGCTTTAAAATATATTTTACAAATGTCCATGCGAAGCGATTCTCACCCCACCTTCCCCCCTGCTTCAAGGGCGCACAACTTCCACATGAAGCGACTCTCACCCCACCCCTGTAGCCTTCACCCCATTTCGTCAAGTTGCTTCATATGGAAGTTATGCACCCTTGAAGCAGGGAGGGAGGTGGGGTGGGAGTCGCTTCGCGTGAAAGTCGTGCGCCCCTAAGTAGGGGAAGAGATGGATTAAGAGTCGCTCCGCGTGAAAGTCATGCACCCTTAAGCAGGGGGGGAGGTGGGGTGAAAATCGCTTCGTATGAAAAGTCATACGTAAGCAAGGAAGAATATAGAATAGTTTTTATTATTACATATAGCAGAAATACAACATTATTTTTGAAACTTTTTTTGTTAATAACTTTTTAACGATTAACGGCTAAAACTTGTTGGAGGTCACTCAGGGCCATGATCTTGACAATATATGTCAAGGTTAAGGTCATTAGAGGGGGCTCTCCCAAACAGGATATTTACCTTGAACGTATTTACCTTGACTATAAATAGTCAGATATAATATTTAAAAAATTATAATAATTATTTGGAATAGGAGCAGTTTAAGAAAATTGTGAGCAAATTTGAAAATTTCAAACTGTTTTACATTTTCCCCTGACTTTTCCCGGTTTTCTAGATCTGTGGCAACCCTGCTGACATTAAATATTTTACAGACTTTTTGTAATACCTTTTAAACCGAAAAATTTAATACAAAAATAACGAGGGTATGACAGTTTTTAAATGGGAAGAGTTTAAAAATTATGAATGATGAGGCTAGAATTTCGCGCGCTCAGAGAAATTAATATAATAAATTAATATTTATACATTGAAAATTAACAAATAGAAATATTACATGCATAATAAATAGAAATATACACATACCAACGGAATTCCTTATTAAGACGTTCGGTTGAATAGGCATTCTGGGCCTAACAATGCCTGGCGGAAGTGGATGTCTAAAAGTGCCTTCACTAGAATTGTTTTGTACTTGAGAGTGTTGCTGCTGAAGCTGCACATGACTGGCTTCAAACTGTTGCTGATTGTTCTCCGTATTATTCTGTCCATCTGAATTACGAATATAATTAAAAAAGTGCGAAAATATAATTTTAATTGTATTTTAATTCATTTATATTTCAGCAAATACGTAATACTTGATATAAAATAATCATATTCATTATTCAAAAATTACAGAATAAAACAAACCTTGAACCCAATTGGCACCTACTCCTTCAATTTTCTTATTAAATTGTTGTCTTTGCAGTAAGTCTCTCAATTGCCTATTGACTTCTGGTTGCTGCACAAAAGTCACTTCTTGTTCCTGAGATGTTCGAGGAGTTTCAGAACTCCTAGGTGATGGATAGCCAGGTGCGGCAGGAGCGGATGTGGGAGTGACAGGTGGTTGGCTGTAAGGATCAGGAGTTCGCGATGTTGCAGGTGGAGGCGGAGGAGGTGGAGGAGGGGGAGGAGGAGGAGGAGGTTTGGGGAGGAGGAGGAGGAGCATATACGGGAGGTCGCGGAGGGTTAAACACGGGAGTGCGGGGTGTACCTGGCGTCTGTGGCGACGAATAGGGGGATGCAGGAGTTGAGACATTGCCTTCGAAGCGCTGGAAATGTGACTCCTGAGAAGGTTGAGAGGAGGCAGGAGACTGTGGAAAATCATGAGGTGATTGGGGTGCTTGTGGTGAGAAGGGGGACGGCGGTTGAGGAAAGCTCGGACGTATTACTCTACAAGATGCTTGCGCAGGCAGACGTACCATAGTTTGATGATGAGGTGATTGAGGTGTGAGACTACGAGGGGCTTTGAGGGAGGGTGTAGCAAAAGTACTGCGGGAAGGAGAGGCTAAGGAATTTAGTTGATTCGCATCCTGTATCAAAATTTTAAAATTAATATTAATAAACTAATATATAGATTATTTTATTTTATTTTGTATTTTTTATTTTTTAAACAATTTGTGAATATATTGATAGTTTCATTAATTTGCATGTAACATCAGATAAATCATATTCTAGTCTCGGCGACATAAAATAATTTTATTAAAGTATTTTTTATTAAAAATATATATTAATATATAATTAAAAATATAATTAATATATAATTAATTATAACATATATAATTAAAATAGAAAAAGATAGAACAGACTTACTTGAGCTGTGGAAACTTGTAATTGTGTCGTTAATGCGGGTGTAGTATCACTACTTAGTTGAGGTGCATTTTCTTCGCTGATTTGTCTGTGTACTCTAGCAATTGCTTTTAACAGAAAAGAAATATATTATAATTGTGCGATTTAAATTATATTAACATAACAATTTTTCTTTATTTGTCATAAATGAAAGTATCTAAATTTAATTAACTAAAATTTTGTTTTTAATCACATAATAAATTGTAAAAATCGTTTTATTTCTCTTTATACATCTTTAATTTTTCAATAACTTTCTTCAACTTACACTAAATTTAGATTTTTCTTAAATAAAATATAAAAAAATATAACAGAATGGTACTCCAAACTATTAAGATAGAATTAAATAGTAAATGTACCATGTACGCGTTGTTCATGGATGACTTGTTGCTGCAATTGTGCTTGTTGTTGACGTAATGCTTGCAATTGTTTCCACTGCCTTTCTTGCTCAGCTTCTCTAGTAGAGCGATCTCTGTTTGTTAATCTATCCTGTTCCTGTTGAAGATCAATTACATATAATTTTCAAGCTATTTGTTAAAGAAGGTCATTACATTTGATATAATTATTTTTAATAAAAAATATATTGCTTTTATTGGAGCTCTATAATTAATAACTATATTAGTAAAAAATTACAATTTAAAAAATTAGATTTAATATGAAAATTATTTTATTACATTTTTATTTAATTTTACCGTATTGTAATATTTTTGTTAAATATTATTAAACTTATTTTATTTAATATATATATATTAATTTTAATCATAAATTGAACACAAAATTTAATAAATATGTATCTAAAACTTATAAAAATATTTTTGCAATTACATTCATATGAATTGTACAGGAAATGAATTTTTTAATGTAATGACCTTTTCTTATAAAGCACAATTAAATATAAAGCACTAATTACAATCAGCCAATAAAAAATATTCATATACATAATGTCGGCCAAAGATCTGAAAAAATATTCAAAGAAAACTAAGAAATAAATGTTAATTTAGTAATTCTACATTATATTTCTATTATATGAAAAATAAATATAATTTCAAACTTTTGGCCATTGCATAAACACCTTTAAAAGTAACAACAATAATACACAATTAAATTAATAATAATTAGCAAAATTCTGTAAATCTTGTACATATGCAAACACACTGGAAACAAGTATAACCAGCCACCATAATTTAAAGAGATTAATTTATAATATTAGTACATTTATACACGCACGCGTGCGAATATTAATTAGTTTACTTGAAGAAAACTTTATTCACAGTAAAAAACACAAAAAACTACAAACACCACAATCTCACCGAAGATTAATACGACGATTCCACATTCATGCATACCAAAATGTTGAATAATTCCAATAATTTTACATAAAAAAATACAATCATAAAATGTGTGTTATGTATATAGAATTATAGAGTATACCAGATACATATGTATAATACACCGTTTAATAATACTAGATTCTTAAGGTCATTTAAAAATAAAAATCTTAATCTGAAATACTAGAGCTGCAATAGTTTAATAAGTTTTTATTTAACCCTTAAACGCTACACTATAGAAACACACTTGAATATGGCATACTCATTCAAATTCGATTGCTTATAACTTTCATAAAAATGAACATATTGTAAACAATTTTTTTTCAATAAAAAAAACCAGACATTAAGGAGCATAATGGTATCAAGCAAATATATATACCTGTATTAATACAAAAATTATAAGCAATGGAAAAAGCATTGAAAAAGCATTAGGAAAAGAAAAGCCGGGTATGCCACCAAAAAGGCGTTTAAGGGTTTATATATATATATATATAAGCATTTTTAAATAAAAATTACATTTAAAGTTATGGCATTGTACACATACAAGTAGTAAAGATATCCTTAGATATAAATACAATTTAGTACGATTGATTAGAATATAAAAAAAATCATTAGCTAATGACACATTTCAGTTTTGACGCTTTTGGTGTTTCGCGTTTCTAATATCAATATTTCATAATGCTATTCATTTTTGTTAATATATACAATAAATTATCTGTAGATAACGTTTTTTTAAAAACTCTTATAATCTCGATATTTCAAAATTAAAATTTTCATCTTTAAGTGTTTGCTATTAGAAAATATGGTAAATATAAGATATCTTCTCAGAATGTCTATAGCATAAAAATAAACATATTAAAAAATACATCATCTATGACAGTTCTAAAAAACATAAGAACTTATAAGATCTCATTTATAAAAGTTAGAAAAAATTCCTGTCTATTTGTTTAATAAATTGTCATATCACTCCTTTTTTTATTTCTTCAGATTATAATTTATTTGCTACATCTGTTTATTTACTGTATCTTTCATTTTAACTTTAAAACAGATAAAAACAGGAAATTTTTAATTCTATGAATTCTTGTAATTATATTCGTAATAAGGAGGAAAAATCTGAAAGAATGTAAAGTAATAAAATTAGTACTAAGCTACTGCATAACCAGATATAGAGCAATATAGTATAGTATACTAATTTATCATTCACCCACAATAAAAAAAATCATAAGCAATATCAATGGATTTAAAGGATAAGAAATAAATAATGATTCGTGAATCAGGATTGATAAGGATACAAATAACAGGATAGATTATAAAAGATATGCTACTATTTTTAAACATGCTACTGGAATATTTTTGAATTATAAAAGAAATAAGAAGTATACACTACCAAAATACTTTCTATTACAATGGTGACCTAACAGAAAAAATATATATGTATATATATGTCCAACATTCTATATTTCAAAAATATTTCAATTAAATAAATTCAATATATAACATAAAATCTAAAAATAATTATGAAAATAAATACTAATTAGAAAATTATATGTGTGTAAATAAACTCTTTAAATTCTTTAAGGCAAATGTTGACAATGACGCTAAAGAAAACTATAATGTGATTCATTCACATATCAATCATGGCCCTATAATATAAAGCATAAAACACGTATTTAAGGAATAAAATCTTCGTTTAACAATATTTTAAATATAATATATATACATGTATACAAGAAGAATACTAAATCTCGATTAGATGCAAAAAGAAAGGCAAGAAAACACTACGAAGGCTCTCACCATGATGTTATTCGGGTGGTGGTGGTGATGGTGGTGGTGGTGGTGATGGTTCTGTACGGGAGGCACAGTGTGAACAATTGCAGTGGGTGGTGGTGGCGGAGGTGGGGGGTCGTAGTGCTCCTGGCTGAGGGACGGAAGGGTGCGCATGATCTCGGACGGAGTGAGCACTCGGATCTGATGCTGATCTATGCTACTATTCCCGCTGCCGCTGTTAACGACAATCGGGGGTGGACGTTGCTGGAGGGGTTGCTGCCCTTCACCCGAATTATTGCAATGAGAAAAAGAAGAGGAAGAAGACGCAGAAGAAGACAAAGAGGACGAAGAAGCCGGTGTTGTGCAAGATTGCAAGACGGATGACTGTTGGTTTCTAGGAGCTTCAGGGGAGAGGGAGGGGCTGGGCGGGGTTCCCTGCACCCCACACACCTCCTGATGCTGATTGTTGCCGGTTGACGTCATTCCACTGGTCATCAACATTCCTAATTGCTTCTCCATGGGCCTCAAACCCACTCCCTGCTGCTGTTGTTGCTGAGCCGTCATAGCGGCGGGTTTGGTGATGATGGTAGTCATGGCGGTGGTGGTAGTAGTAGTGGTATTCATATTGATGGTGGTGGTATTGGTGGTGGTTATATTGGTTGTGATGATAGTGTTGGTGGTGCTTGGTGGTGGTGTCTCCTTGGAGAGCTGTCGGATTAACACCGAGCGGTTCGCAATCACACGATGCGATATATACATGAGGATGTTTCGCATAAATCTTATATAAGAACATATTTTATAACACTATTTCATTTTTAAATTCTCTCTCTCTCCCCTCCCCCATGCAGATATTTATATATATATATTTTTTTACAAACTAAATTATATTAATAAAATTCGATATTTTGATAAAAGATTTAAATTTTTCAAGATTTTTAATTTTGCAAGCAAAAGTTCTTGTATTTTCTGAGACATATCCAAACCAGCAAAAGAGATAAAAAAGAAAAAATTCCTTTGTACGTAGATTTATGAATTAAATGAGTATTATTAAAACCCTCTTATCATTCTCACACAATATTTCATTTTTTTCTTATATCTCAATACATTAATAATTTTGTCATTTGTTGATTAATAATTTTGTTCCACTTTTTCTGGTATGTTCAAAATTTACGTTTATATTGAAAAATATTAAAAAAAAAGTTTTATGAGAAACATCCTGCACGTAAAAAATGATATAATAGGCCCGAACGAGGCAACCTAAGAATAAGTCGCATTCAATACGAAATTTCAATTATTAACATAAATTAGCCTGCTTTGTATTTACGAAACACATAAAAGCAAGGTATATATATGGATTTTCTGGACTTTTATGGATCTACGTGAATTTGTGAGGATTCTTATTGGATATATCTAAATAGTATGTTATACCGATTGTGGTTTCAATATTATACATATCTAAATCTAATTTATAAAGCAGCGAAACAAGAATGGGTAACAAGATTCCATTCATCTACACACTTATGAATCGATAGAGATTTACAGATTATAAATTTATAAATTAATAAATTTGTAGATCCACATCTAAGCACATGCAGATCTATAAATTGGATTGACATAGGTTCCAGATATATAGATATTTATATATGTTCTGATTTTAATGGCCAATTTGTACTAGTTTCGTAGATAAAAAAATTTTTATGTAATTTTTATGTAAATTTTTATGCTTTTAAATAAAGCTTCTGTAAACACTCATTCATAACATTTTTTTTCTTAATTCGATTCATGAAACATATTAACATATTTTAATTGTCAAAACTTGAAACATTCTATTTTTATATAATAATATTCTTTTTTTAGAACTTTGTATATACTTGGAAATTTTTTTTATAAATATTTCTATTCTTAATTTTTACGTATAAAAGAGATGAAAGATTTAAAATTAAAAATTCCTCTTCACCTCATTTGGGCCCATTATTTAGAAACTGGTTCACGTTTAATTCTACTTATCTTCGAGCGTGAGTAGAACCTATTTGTATCTATATTAGCAGTTTAAAATATTTCCTATATATAATATGTCGAAACTAGATACACATAAAAATTTAATTATAGTTTGGAATATTTTACATCACAACAAATTAAATCAAGAATTTTTTTTGGCTGTTCTCTCTCTCTCTCTCTCTCTCTCTCTCTCTCTCTCTCTCTCTCTCTCTCATCTTATCTCATTCATTCATCCATAATAAAATTCATATTTATACATTTCTAAAGATTAATGCATAAATGTGGAGCGAAATCCACTTTATTTATCTTCAAAAATTATTTTGATTACCTAATTAATTTAAATTATTTTCAACTATTATTTTATCTTTAAATCTGTAGTTAAAATAAATAATTGGGACATCCAATCGTCATAAAAAATAGACATTATTTCATTGTAAGAAACCAGTAAAAATCCTGAAGTTCACAATAGAAATGTATTATAGTTTACGACACACAGGACTGTCGAACTGTTAGTCTTACTTGAATGTTAGCACAAAACACGCTTGAGAACAAAAACCCCAATGAAGAACGTCTAGAAATACTGGTTATCCCAATAAATTATCGCGCTTCTCTCAGTCATAAATTCTGACTGAAGAATTGACATAGAGAAGTAAGTACGATAATTAAAATTCGTTTCTCTTGTTTCTGCGCATATATATATATATATAAATTAATTACCTGTTGTGTTTTTTTCATGCGAACCGCAGCACGATTGTCTCGAGCCTGAGTCAAATATGGGGCTTTCTTATCATTTGAAAGTGCTCGCCATTTCTTCAGAATTTGTTTACATCTCTCGGCCCATACTTTGTAAAATAAAAACATTCATTAAAATAATAATATTTTAAATCAGATATATAATATCGAAATTTAATTTGACAAGAATCAATAGATGAAAGAGAAATATTAAAGGATTTTAATAAAAAATAACAATTCTCAAAGATGAAATATTTAAAATATTTAATTAAAAAATGTACCTGGAAAATCAGTTTTCCATTCAGGATGATTGATATTAGCATAGAGAACTGAGGATATTGTCGCTGCAGTACCCAATGCTTCATCAGCTTCCATCTTTAGATTGCTTCTTTGGTTGTATGAAATGGTAGCATTGCCTGCTGGAGCATTTCCTTCGTCTTCGGGATTCACCCACGGACTAGGAGGCTCCGAAAATGCTGGACTAAACTGTGGACTACTAAAAAAATTTAAAAATAATTAAAATTATATAAGATTTAAAATTAATATCAATGTGTGCACATATACATACAGTTTTGAAATCAATTTAATTTGGATATTATTTTCTAAATACGTTCATTCTTACTTGCTATATTCAGAGTGGTATGGTGAAGGTGGTGGAAAACTCATTGGAGAATTTAAGTTTGATTGGCCAACCGAAGGTAGAGCACCAGGTACTTGAGGTCTCGCTAATATTGCTGTTTGAATACCTACAAAGCAATTGATTTCAATAACATAAAATATAAATTGTATAAGAATTATAAAAAATAAAATAATCTACTTATAATGTTTTTATAAACTAATTTTCTTATTTTTTTATAAAATGAATATTTATAATTCAATTTATTCCAATAATAGAAAAACACAACAAAACTGATATATCAAGATATTCAAACTTGCATACTCAAATATTATCTTAGAACATATCTTAACTCAATATCGGCAAAGTTGTATTTTAAAAGCATAGCTAATTTTTTAATTATAATTTCTGGTAGATAAATTTAAACCTAGAAAAAATAAGTAAACTACAATTCAATAACTCATTATTAAAGCTTACCCAAATGTGTAAGAATTTTTTCAGACTTTTATACAGTCCGGAACAATGTAAAAATTTGCACTAAAGTTCGAAAACTCAAGTTGCAGACAAAAGGTGAAAATTTCACATCGCTAATGGACGGTTAAAGTCACAAGTTTATGACATGAATAATGAGTACATTCAGAATGACAAGCGCTTTTTGAGCGCTCTTTCATCTGATTGGTCTAGGATTGTTCTAATAGAATATGCCAATCAAATGAAAGAGCTCACTGAGCGGTTGTCGTTCTGAATGCATCCAATATTACTTAATAAACAACTCAATTTCAATTCTCTTACATTTTTTCTCTAATAATTATTGTAATATTGTCGTTTTTGTTTTTATTTAAATTTTGATTTAACATCGTTAATAATATTATTATAGTATATAATTATTATTTCATTTAATTACATATACACACAAGGTGTTTCATAACATGTAGGACTAACTTCAGAAATAAATTCAGGACATAAAAAAAGTTCATATAAACATCTGTACTATCTGACCTCGTTTCCGAGTTACAGACATTTCTCGTTACCTACGTCCTGAATGTCTACATGTGAAACACTGTATATTTTTAGCATGTATTTACCAGGATGAGGAGAGGGTGACACTAGGGGAGTAGTAGATGATGAAGGATGCGAAGTCTGAGCTTGGACAGAAAATACCGATGATTCCTGAGACTCTTGAGATTCATCGGTCAGAACACCTTTAAATATTTCCTCGATATCTTTACTGTCCATATTAGGTAAGCCTTAAAAAAAATAAGTGTTCAATTTTATATGTAGCTGACTATATTTTAATGTTCTACTGAGACAATATTAAAATTTTAATAAAATAATATATTGTTATCTTAATATACACTGTGACAAAATATTTAATGTTTACTTTGAAAGAGCTTACCAGTGTCTCTGACCATCGACTCCAAATTAAAATGTGGACTTAGGATATCCGTCAATTCATCTTTACTTCCACCTTGAGTATCATCCAACTCATCCAGTGCTTCGCTCGCTTTAGCTAAGTCCTCATCGTTTTCGTTCATTATTGTATTTACTAGATCGCTATCCAATAAATCCCCGGAAATTGGTAAAATATCTCCAAGTGCTTCAGTATCACTTCCATCATCTTCCACGATTTCTTCTCTTTTGATTTGTTCAGGAGCAATCTTTTCATCGTCTTTTTCTTGTTTCGCTTTGACTTGTTCCATTACCTTTAATTCATCTTGAGATAACTGAATTGTATTGGCATTTTCAGGAACTTTGTGTTCTTCCTCAGATTCGCTGCTGCTTTCAAGATCTTTTTCTTTCGTTGTATCCATTAAATTCTTACCAAAAAACGCTTCTTGCATGTAAATAGGAAAATATTCCGCCAGTTTCGGTTTCGGCTTTCTTCTCTGAGGTTTCCTTCGGGGTTTATCGTCTCCCATTCCTATGATTGAAGATTCTCCAGGTTTTTCAGCATCTCCTTCTTCTTCTTTGTCTTTCCTAGTTCTCAATCTTACACTAAATCCTCCAATTCCTAATTTTTGCAGATTTCTTTGACGTTTTCTTCGTAAAACAGGAAGTCCACCTTCTGAAGTGCAAATACTGAAGCCTTCTGGAGGAGGTTGGTTCCATACCATACCTTCTTTCAGCACTGTTTCTGGTTCATCTTTGACATCCATCAATTCCAATTTGTTATTTTCCTCTAAAGAATTGTCTAAACTTCCTCCAGCAACAACAGATTCAATAGTCGCCATTATATCTGCTTCTTTATCCACCATTTGGGGTTGTTTTCTTTTCTTTTTTCTTGTTTGCTGATGTTCTGCAGTTAAAGATTTGATATGATTCATCCCTACTTCAGAAAGATATACTCCTTCCATTATATATTGTTGCGAGGAAGTTTTAAACAATTCTGTATTTCGATTTTGAGGTGGAGAAGATGACCGAGTGAATTTCGAGGAAGGTTTAGAGAGAAGATGAGGAGGGGGAACATCTCTCGGACGACAGAGAAGACAAACATAACCCTCCTCGGCACAGCGTTCGGCATCAGCTTCGCTTTTGATTGAATCACAACCGCAGTGAAGCCATCTTTCGCATTGTATGCATTGAATGATGAGATCACCCTCCTGATAAGCTTCTTGGCAAGCTACGCAAGCGGTGTGAGAAGCACAGGGTCCGCATTGAGTGTAACTTTTTTGCCAGGATGAATTAAAACCGGGATCGTTAGAACCACAAGTCTGACATTGCGCACACCATTTGCACTTCCATGTACCGTGCGGCACATAATCTAAAGGCGGGTCCATACAATAAATGTGGTAGCTGATATCGCAGTCGTCACAAAGAATCAAGCGAGATTCATCATTTCGTTCACCACAGCCTTAAAAACAAAATATTCTATTAATATTCTAGAATGTCCAATGAAATTCTTTCAACTTATTACAAATTTCTCGGTTACATAACGTTGAAAAATAATAGAAATCAATAAAATTATCTGGCAAGATATTTTATAATTCTATTAATTTTTTTACCACTGCTGAACGTCTTAAGTTATATACTAGTAAGTTATATACTAACGCTTTTTACGCTTTTTAATTCATAATATATTAGATTCTATTTTCTATATATATTCAATAATAATATTATAATAAATTTCATTTCAATAATAGTTATTTATTTTTTCGCTTATTTTCAAGACTTACGAAATCAATAATACTAAATCAAACACATTTTAGAAATTAAAATATATATGTATTTTAATTTTTCAATACCTTCACAAACAGTACAATCAAGACATCGCCAGCCCTTTTGCAAGATGACCTTAGTGATCTTAACGCCAGCACAATAAGGGTGATAACACTGACCGCATTGTACACATGCAATCAAACAACCTTCCTGATCCATACCAATCGAGCCGCACATCACACAAATATCCTGTGTAAGAACAAATTTATCTTTGGCCGAGCACAAGATTAATTTGTTCTCAATCCCAAGCTGTTCTTCTTCCTTCGATTGGGATGAATCTGGATTCGGACTCTGCGATATTAAAGAAGAATTAATTTATTTAAGTTACAGAGAAAGTTATATATCCAGTTATATATTATACAAGATATTTTAAAACTATCAGATGTTTTTATAATGAAAAATGAATTTAACTAATTTAAAATTAATATCTCATTAAGTGTTGCAAAAATTGCGAAATGATACTTTTCGATTAAATTTAGTCCGCCTACAACAAATCATTATCGGACAACTCTGTTTATATTAAGAATGTATCGGATATCTGGGAAGTATTTGGCATCTGCATTATTGATGCAGAATTCTATTCTTTCCAGCTGAATTTCTAGCACAATTCATCTTTCCTCTTTTTCTTTTCACGTTGAGATAATTACGTAAAGAAAATTAGTATTGCTATTTTTCTCTTGCTTTCTTTTTTCTTTTTTTTCTATAGCGAATTCAGTTGGATGCACTAATGCGCACTACTAGTGCATATTAAAACCATTGTACACTAATGTAATCTGCGTAATAATAAAGTGCAAATATTTCGAATTATAAAACTTTTACTTAACAGCACAATAAAATGTATTGAGAATTTTATAGTGTAATCCGTTTTTATATTTATATTAAACACACATTTTTACACATCAATTTGTATACAATGGCTTTAATGTGCTCCAGTGCCCATTGAATACATTCAATCGAATTCACTGTTAGTAAAATGGAAAAATTGTATCGGATAGCCGAAAATATCCGGTATCCGATCGGATAATTATCCTACCGAATATTCGATCGATAGAGTTGACTGGATATCGGATATCCAGTGTCACATTCTTTCTGGATATCCGATATCCGGCAATTTACGATCCGATATATTACTAGTTTATACACACACACACACACGCACACGCACACGCACACGCACACGCACACGCACACACACACACACACACACACACACACACACACACACACATATAAGTTAATAAACTAAAAAAAATAAAAATCAAAAGAAAAAAAATATATACTAACAAATCGATTTGGTAAATATTGAGATGGAAGGAGCCAGCGCCAATGACCTTGATCTTGACATATGTTGTCGCGTGGAAAGTCGCGCGCCCCTTGGCAGGGGGGGAGGGGTGAAAGTCGCTTCGCGTGGAAAGTAGCATGCCCCTTGGCAGGGGGAGAGGTGGATTTAAAGTCACTTCGCATGGAAAGTTGTATTCCTTGAATTTGTCCACCTCATATCTCTCTCTCTGTCTCTCTTTGTCTAAAGTTATCTGACTCATGTAAAGCAGGGAAATAATTACTAAGTTTGACTGTTAATAACTTTTTAACGAATAACGAGCGACGGCTAAAACCTGTTGGAGATAACTCAGAGTCATGATCTTGACAACATATCATCGGCGCTGGCTCCCTTCATCTCAATATTTACCTCGATTTCATCAAAAGCAATTCTTTTAATTAAAAAATTTATTTATATCAAAATAAAAAATAAAATTTAATATAAAATTGATATAAAATTCTATGTAAATATAAAAATACATTAAAAATTTTGAAGCGCCACATACCTGCAAGCCCACTTCTGGCACTCCATAAAATCCTCTCATTTTTCCTTTGGGTCCTCTCTTTCTTCCAAACTCTGTCATTTTTTGCCTTTTTTGATAACCCAGTTTTCCAATACCTTTGGGTCTACCGATAACTCCGCCGCTAATCCCTAATCTTTTCTTTGCGATCTTTGTGGCACAGAACGGTTTCCCTTTCCCTAATCCGACCGAATAAAGCGCTTCTTCGGAACAACCACTTGGATAATCTAACTCAGAAGATTCACCGTCGAGACTTTCTTGCGAAGCGCTTAGACTTAAATCGCCTTCATCAATACTATCCTTCCGTCTGGCTACCATGGCGATACTCTTACAATGCAGACAAACATATTCATAATCCGGCTTTGCTTCTTTGCGCTGCTGATAAGTAAGCGGATCGGCTTCGGGATCGCATGTGCCATGCACGAACTTCTTGCAACCATGACATTGGACCATTTCACGATATGCCGCAGCTCTGCGAAGAGAAAAAAGCAACAAATAAGAAACAAATAAAAACATAATAAAAATACATATAATAACACAAATATAAACATATATAAATCCTCATATACTTGAATCAAAATTAGAAATGATGTTAAAATCAATGAAACAATACATATTAACAAATGGTTATAAAAATTCTATAAAAATTAATCATATTTTACTAACTTCACAATAAAATATTATAATTATTTATTAATTAACAAATTATTAATTAACAAAAATTTTGCAAAAGTGAGATTTTGGTTACCTATATGCCTTTCTACAGAGTGGGCAAGAGAAGCCCTTGTTGCGCTGCTGATAGCATGAATCACAGACGGTATAATGAGAATGCCATCTGGAAGATAGCCCAGCTCCAGGAGTACGTGAACCACAATCGGTGCACACGCGACAACATTTACACTTCCAACCGTATTTTGGAATAGAAGTGACAATCGGTCGCAAACAACCAGGATGATAAGCCTTGTCACATCGTTCACATAGCATTACCTACAACAAAAATCTTGTTTTATAAAAACTATTAAAAAGAGAAGGTGTGTGTGTGTGTGTGCGTGCGTGTGTACATATATATATATATATAATATCGTTCCTTACTTCATAAGTGATACAACTCAAAAAATTAATTTTTTCAGAAAAGATAAAAACAATTTTTCAACTTAACAAAAAATTGCTGACTAATCAAATAGTATCACAACAAAATCAAAGTCTGTTTTATGATTAAGTTCATTTTTCATTTTTCTATTCGTTCTGTATTTATTTGAATTTCTATAACCTTTGAAACATCTTCGGGTTGCCGACAGACTTGACATACACGGCAAGACACGCACTGCCATCCAGCACGCACCCCAGGTAATAATGCCAAGCCCACACAACTGCCATGATAATGTTGGCCGCACACGGAGCACATCACTAGATTCGAGACATCGCCCATTCCATAACATTGAACGCAAGTAACTTCTCCTCCACACACTATAAATATAAAATTATTTTGCATTCGATTAATTTCTTTAAAATCAAACAGCGAAAGTGTTTACAAAATTTTATTTCTTACAAGTAAGCACCGTAGCTAAAAGTATTTAGACAAAAATTATTTAGTTTCGTGAGAAACATCAGGTGAATGTGCGTGTGTATATGCGCGCAAGCACTATCGAGTAAATTATGGCAATATATTTACTCAGCATATACAGACATAAAACGCATTTAAAACACAGCTTAGACAATCCTATTTGTACATGAGTAGTACAACTTCCGTCCAGAATTTTGTATTTTTTTTTTGAGAAACAACGGAAGGCGAATTCTCATATTTCTTGTAAGAATGAGAAAGTTACTTCTGCTGCAGAATGGGAGCAATCCGATGCTGTGATTATAGAACTGTGATTTTAGAATGACGGCAAGCGTGGAGGATTAGATATGGAAGCTTGAGCAGCGCTGTCATCAAGTTTTTGACTAAAGAAAAGATTAAGGCTGACGCTCCCATGGAGCAGAAATTTACAGCGGAACAGAACAGTCCGATCAATCACAAACTCTGCAGTCGTTACTCTGCTTTCTTTTCTGTGATCATGATTGGTCTTGCTGTTCCGTTCTGCTGTCAATTTCCGTTCATGGGACGTCAGCCTGTCTTCAGAAATTTTACGGGATTTACAACCCTAATTCAGTGACAACATGCTTTTCAAATCTCAAATGTATAAGTGCAGAAGTTTAGGAATGGTTGAGAGGTCAGTGATGTTCACTGAGCGGTCACTCCATACTATTCTACTTCTATTCTGCAGGCATAACATCATTGCTAAAACGATAGGAAAAGTGTCAGCGTGGAGATGGGGGCACTTAGAAAAAATACCTAAATTGGAACTAACACATACAGTCCCGTCGCCATTACTAAAATTCCGAATAAAAGTTGAACTGCTCATGTAATAATTAGACAAAAAAAAAAGAATCATATAATTAAAACTATTTAAAACACGTTCATTGTATAGACAATACTTATTTGACATTGTACAGTTCCATATTTGTGAGTGTGATTAAAGTCGTGTTCAGATATATTACTAGCAGTACTGAAAATTTATAGTTCACATTAAGTATACTATTAGAGTTTCAATACTGACAGTATATATCGAAACACGACCTTTGTCCATAATATTAGATACCGCAAAAAGTTCGTGTCGTTTTTTCAAGAGATGTTTATAAGGGAAAAATGACACGAACTTTCCGCGGTACCTAATAATAAGAGTGCTTTAAATTCACAAAATTCTCAAAAAAAAGTTCAAAATTTTTTTTTAATTTTCACAAATTCCCACCATTATATTAGTAAAATAATTTTCTCATATTTATGTGTAAAAAATGTGTAGCATTTAGACTTTAAAATTTCTTTTTTTCTTGTTTTTACTTCATTTTCAGATATTAAAAAAAAGATTAGGTAGCAAAAATTAAAAAATAAAATTAAAAAATTTTAAAATTAAAAACTTACATAAAAGTGGGACTTGGCCAAGATGTTGACTGCAGAAAAGGGCCAAGTTCTTACTGTCTTGAAAGCAACTGCTGGCCGCGGCACACGGAAAATGAAAATAACGATTGCACGAGGTCACCTGTCAAATACCGCAATTAATTATAATTAAGCAGTCACAATTAAACTGTGAATACATATAAAACACTTTTCGATTTTTATTTTTACAATTATTCTGAATATAAAATAAACAATTTATTTTACTTTTATTATAATTCATATATATATATATATATACACTACTCAACAAAATTAAAGGGCTTGTTCCATCCTACAAAAATAGGCAAATTTTATGATAGAATAACTTCGTCAAAAGTCATCGTATCGAGATGTTTAAACAAGCATTTTAAAGCTTGAAACCTCTGCTTTTCAGATCGATATTTAAAAAAAACGATCTTGTTGATATTTTGTGAAGTTACATAAACATAAATGATGACGCATCAGATATAAAAATTTTTTACGAAATTTGCAAAGTGTTATAATATATGGCTAAACTATAGCTTACTTTGCAAGAAATTCCAGCACCATAATGCGAACAATAGGCACAACGTCTGGAGGAAGCTTGTAAAACAGCACGACATGCCAATTCTGGTAGTAAAACTTGAGTGTTGCTAGACCAGATAATACATGATCGATGAACATAGTAATGACTGGTTGAGGAATCAAACAGAGTCCCGATTTCTGGTTCCTCCAAATAACCTACGATTGTCAATTCTTCCACCGGTTCCGTGAAATTAGTTAGACTAGTATTCCTGTAAAAAATAATTTTAATATACAGGCATAAATTTTAATATATTTTAATTGTTTATTTCTATATAAGTATATTTCTACATTTTAATAACCACACTTTATGAATTTGTTAGTTAAGAATTAGTTTGTAATATATTTTTACCTGCATTTGGCTAGACTTTTTTGTCTACGACAGGTAACAGCAATTCCAGGTCCAGTAGCACGCGGACTTTTATCTCCTGCAACAGCGACATTGACAAGCTGGTCACTACCTGTTTCATCGCGGTTTGTCGGCTTCTCAGGAGTGAAACCCGGTGGACATGTCAGACACAAAAGTTCACCTTGTCCCAACTGACTCCTCTCGCCTAAATTGCATAATGCACATACTTTGCCTGGCCTAGAAAATTTTATAATTATAGTTTTTAATATCGTTCAAAATACTTACATTTGTTTTTTGTTTTAGTGTTTCGTTTCTTTTTTATTTAATTCATCAAAATAATTATTTCATGAAATATAAAAAACATTTAACAAATTCTATCGTGTATGTAAGTCATTTTACAATATTTTACATATTCAATTACTAAAACTCATTTTAAGTACAAAATAAAAATTATGAAGAATTATCTTACCATTGTTCAGGAAAGTAAGGGGGTTCTTCGGGCGCCGGCATCGATCTCTCGATCGAGTTTCCCACTAATTCACTACTACCATCAGGACCAGTATCATCCATCCCAGTGATACGCAAAGGACTTGGTGATTCTGAGTGTGTGTCATCATCTTTACTTTTGGTGCGACGTGGTATACCTCTTGTATATCCAAATCTATAGAAATAAATAATAAAATATTTAAAAAATGACATCAAATAAATGCTCTCTTAAAAACATAATTTTATATATATATACACATATATATGGATACACACATATACATAACATAATCATGATACATACATATATCATATATACATATATGCACATGTAAATAAGCATGCATTGTGTGCATATTAAAATAATTATAATGATTAAACGAACCCTTTGCCTCTGGCACTACCCCTTCCAAAAGATCTTCTTGTGCCTCCTCCACGTGTTAGACCAAAAGGTCGTTCTTTCCGAGGTCTGCCAGGTCCACGGCGAATATTCAAAGGTTTACCACCAGGTAATGAAAACTTTGGGTATCGCAATGTATCATGATAAGCCTCATCTGATGTAACTAGAAAAAGGATAAAGAAATAAATTTTAAAAGATAAATTAATGTAAATAATAGTGAATTAATTAAATACAATATTAAGTATTATATACATATACTCCTTTGTATAAAATTAAAACTTTCTTTATAATTTTTGCATTATTTTATTCTTTACTTATAAATTTTAATACTCTACTTCTAATATTTTAGTAAACTAAATAATTTACTAAAATAATGTTTATATTACTTTTATAAATATTGTAATAGCAATTGCAACATGCACATTATTTTTCTAAAAATAACAAAAAGAGAATAATGTTTAAAGTACAATTACTGCTACCAGTGGTTGGTATTGTCTGTCCAAGCAATTGATCTGAGTTAGCTGGAGATATAGGGATGCCTGTTGTTTCTTCATCTTCGTCTTCACCATCGGAAGCCTCATCCAACTCCATCTCCTCTTCACCTTCAAGTCGCACTTCATCATCCATGACACCCCCCCTCTCTCTCTCTCTTTATTTTTGTTTTGCAAAGCTAAAAATTATATATTATTAAAAAAATCCTGTATCCAGCAATGAAAAACAAAGGCATTTAGCTTTTAATTATAAAAAAACTTAGTAATACTTTGACCCTTGTATAAATTAGAATCAAAAGCATAATCTATAAAACAAAACTAAAAAAATTCAGCGGCTCAATAAGATCCTTTTCATACCATTTAGCTACTGCAAAATATTTTGTCAGAATACTGATAACAAAGTTGAATAGATTTTACCTAAATACATTTTTTTTCTCTTAAACTCTAAAATTAAACATAATTAACTTATTTAACAATTATATATCCAATTCGCGATAAAAAAAAGGACTAAAATTAAAATTCTAGAAGTATTCCTCGCGCTCCACCCCATTATCCTTGCTCTAACCAGAAGGAACCAGACTTGTCGTTTTCCTCCAAATGGAAAAAGTACGGAAGGTGAAGGAAGGCGTCGCGACGGTGACGAGGAGTAAGCACATTCGCCATTACTACGTAAACAGATTCTCGTCAGGGCGCGCCGCCGTTTGCCGTTCGCGTTGGCGGGGTGCCGCGGAACTCTGCAATGTCTGCGGTCCACGTACCTGAGAATTAATGCTGTCGATAAGGCGACGTGAGTATCATGATGGAATCGACGACGGATTGCTGGTGATCATGATGAGAGCGGTACAACCAGGTAAACATGTTGGAACAGCGCGAACGATCCGTGGAAAAAAAATGTCACATACACAGGTAAACGAATGGAATCCCCAACGCGAACGGAAGAGTACGCGACGCGACTAGCACACTAGAATCACGGAAAACGGATATGCGTGCGCAAGTCTGCACGCGCGCCATACGTGAAACTTCCTAGGATTTACCTTAGGCCGGAATCAGACTAGGCATTAAAGATTGAGATTGAAGATTGAAAGATTGAAATTTGACCAATCAATACAATAGGAACTAAAATTCCTTTGCCCTCATTGGTCAAATTTCAATCTTCAATCTTCGATCTCAATCTTCAATGCGTAGTCTGATTCCGGCCTTAAGCTAGAGTCTGGCGTTGTCTACAATATGGGCTGCGTTCGAAAATACCCGAGTGCCTCAATGCATCATTTTATTCTTGTTGTTCATCCAATGTTAAATAAGGATAAGATGATACACGGGGGCATCCGGGTGATGTTTCCGAACGCAGCCATGCGAAGTAAGCTTGGTTTTAGAAGTAAGAGTAAGAAATTGACCAATCACAGTCGAATGTGAGAAGAATAATTGACTGTGATTGGTCAATTTCTTATGCGGAGTCTACAATAGAAGTCGTAGCAGTTGTAGGGTCTTAAGTCGTAGAAAATTGACCAATCGCAGTCGAATATGAGAAGAATAATCAACTGTGATTGGTCAATTTTCTACGACTTAAGATCCTACGACTGCTACGACTTCTATTGTAGATCCCGCATTACTCTTAAGCCTTGTGTCCACGATGCTAGAACTCGGTCCGAGTTTTCGGATCGAAAAATGTGTAGCCAATCAACTTGCCAGTTTTCCGTAAAAACTGTAAGCTGATTGGTTACACATTTTACGATCCGAGAACTCGGATCAAGTTTTATCATCGTGGACACAAGGCTTTACTTCTTAAACCAAGCTTACTTCGCATATTGTAAACGGGCCATCTTATATTTATACAGGTGCATTTTCACGAGCTGCTCAAGGGTCCGTTCGGATTCCCTAGAGATCTTAAGGGCAGAGTCCATAGCCGTTGCTCAAGATTCGAGATGGTCTTACCCCAGAACTACAATAGGGTTCTAAGCCTTAGGGCGCGTTCACACCTCGACGGAAAAGCAGAAAGTGGAAAAGCAGCAGCCAATCAGAACTCGTACTGGTAATCGATAATTTCAGCTTTTTGTACTGCTTACTACCAACGCGAGTTGTGATTGGCCACTGCTTTTCTGCTTTTCTAAGGATAGAAAATCTTTTTTAAGGATAGAAAAAAATTTTTTTAATCCAGATTTTGAAATCCAGTTAAATGCAATTTTTAAAGGCCCTGTAGAAGGTCCCGGTAAAATTCCAACTGGATTTTGTTCTGGGTGAACAGATCTACAATTTGAGAGAAGTTACGACTCATTTGAACGCTTGGAATCTTGCTAAAATCGACCTTGAACTAGAAATTTGGTCATTTTTTCACATTAATCGAGCTATATTTCTTAAGGCGTATATCGTAGGGTTAAATGAATTATTGTATCGTGTTCAGCAACCCCAAAAAGGTCGTACATACAGTATCACATTTAAAATCCGGATTAAGCTATTTTGCATCAAATCAAACATGTATTAAGAAAAATCGAAACTTTGATTAAAAAATCGTTTACTAGCGACTTCTAAATCTTAATATTTTTTGATAAAAATTTAGGGATGTTCTTTTGATATGAAATGGAAGCTTTTAAGTTGAGAGGCCGATTAAAAAAAATATTTTTTTTTCTTGTCAGTCTAATATATATATATAATGTATATAATTTTTTGTTTTACATTAAATATTTGTCATCTTTCTGTTTTATAAACTCAATATCATATAATACAATAAAGATACAAATGTACATATACATAAATTATAGATTAATATTTATCGCATACATTTTATCTTATATAATACAATAATCGCGAATATTTTATACATTATACATATCAGCATACATACATATATAAAATTAATTGTCTTTTATAATTATTATATATATGTTAAATAATTACTAGATTATTGTCATAACTTTTATTATTACTATGAAAATAACCGTTATTATATAATGTTACATAAAATATTTTAATAATAAATGAAATAAATTCATTTTTATTAAAAATGCGATCTACAACATTTTTGAAATAATATGAAACAATAAAATAAAAGTCCAAATCTTCTGTTGCTTCTTACATCATGAATAAAAGTTGACACGCGTCCCGACCCGTTGATAAGCACTTGAGCAGCAGGAGATACGGTAATGTCTCGTACAGCCTAATCACTCCTGCGGCACTAGTACTTAGGAACAGGACAGGACTTAATTTTTCCTTTTCCATTGAAGCTTCAAAGAGATCAGTTATTCTGCAAATAAAATATATAGCATAACGTAAAAATATAATAAAAGATAAAATAGAAAAAATAAATGTTTATTTAATATTGTTATATAATTTTTAATTATGATCAATGATTAAAGAAAAGATTAATATTATTTTCCTGTTCAAAAAAATCCTTTAAGAATTGTTATATATATATTCAATGCTTCCTGTGAACAAAATACACACATACATCATAAATATTATATTATACAACATAAAAAAGTGAAATATAAATTTTAGTAATCTATAGAACTTAATAAAGAATAAAACAAATCAGTTGAGTTATCTTTTCTATAAAATTTGCTAATAAAATTTTTGTGTACATATATTATGTATGAAACATACATTATAGTATATGAAATGTTCTATCACTACATCTATCACTAACCATTCATGCGATACTGACAGAGGAAAATTCTATAGGCTATTTTGTGCAATAATAAAAAGAAAACCATATGTCGTACAAGTAATGTGTAAATTACTGAGTTCCTCCGTCAATTATCTAATCTCACCGGGTATTACCGGCAATATGGACTTATTAGGATTAATTAAGATTCTGTTTCTTTCTCTCTTCCCTTCCTTCTTTGGTAGTTTGGTTTGTTTTTTCTTTCTCTTTTCCTTTTCTTTTATTACATATGTATATGTGCGCTGCCTATCTCCTAGACGAAAAAAGAAAAAAAGAGAAAGATAAAAAGAAAAAAGAAAGGTTATTGCTTTTTCTTATATATGGATTACATATTATAAAATTTAACCACAGAAAATTTTAAATAATTTCTACCATAAAATGTATATAAATGTTAAACAATAATACAAATTAATATATAGTAATAAGTAATATTTTAAAAGTAAAAATTTTAAAAATATAATTACAAAATGTAAATAATTATAAAATTGCGTTCAAAATTTGTAAATTTACTGTGAAAATTATGTTTGTAAATTGTACATAATTGTAAAATTACGTATTATAATTGAAAAATTTTTTTCTCACCGTATATTCCCTAAAGGAAAGTCTGCAAAATTATTTAAAAACTTGTCAGCAGTTATTAATCAGCTGGACACCCGGTATACAGTGATGATGCAACGGCAGACGTACTCTATTAAAACAGCCTCGAGAAATCATTAAAGTCGCCCACTGTATTCTCCTTTCCCTCCCAACAGAATATATTCCTTCTTTTCTTTCACTCTCATTTTCTCATAATTACTGGAATATATTCAAATTTTCTTGTTTAGTTTCGTATAACTTTATTATTGTTAAAAATAATATATCATAATAATTATTTTTATAGTAATGTATCAAATAACACGTAAAAAATAATAATGTATATCTTAACGAAATAAAATTATATGAGATAAGTTATATTATTATTTATATTATATTTTAATTATATAAGATAAATATATATTTTGTATATATTAATATATAAGTATATATCTTATATATCTTATATATTTATTTAAATGTATTTTAAGTATGTGTTCTAAACAAATTATACACATGTTCAATTATTTTCAAACACTCGGACATCTTCTTATAATACAGTACAATGCAGTAAAATTAAGTCAAAACACATATTATTACAAAGATGAAAGATTAAAGAAATGAGAGTACAACTGAATCTTTGATTTCGCTGCGTTCTGTGTTTGGCGAGTGTGTTTCTCTTTTCTCAAACGTCCTATTCATCATTCATAGTCTAACTAGAAATTGCTCGAGCATCAAGATTGCATAAATGTAATGATATGAAAATGTAAGATATATAAATTAAGAAATAATTATGCTTTATATAATGAAAAATAAGTAACTAAAAATAAATAAATAAAAATTGATTAATAATGATATTCTACCTATAGAACGAGATAGGTACACTGAGAGAAAAGTTTCGTATTTGTAACTATAATTGCATGGTAAAATAATTATAATTAATAACTCCATTTTTATAGTTATTATTGCTGTAATGTTAGTAATAATAATTATATTTATACTTTTATCAAACAAGTATACAGTTGATACCAAAAATGATTATATATTACAAATAAATCTATTAATATAATTAAATTATGTAGTAATTGCAATCATTTTTCTTCTCTCAGTATACTATATGTACGTAATACCTAATATAATTGACATGAAAAAATATATATGAAAATTGATAATATATGGATATTTATAACAATAATTTTTTGCATGTATGCGCGATGAGGACATTCTAATAAAATTTCTCAAATAAATAAAGTTATATATAATATATATATAATATGTAGGTATATTATATATATATATATATTATATATAACTTTATTTATTTGGGAAATTTTATTAGAATGTCCTCATCGCGCATACATGCAAAAAATTATTGTTATAAATATTGTGTATATACATAATAGAATATATGTATAAATAAAAACATTAATAAAGCAATGTATGCTGTGTTGCTTATTATACAATATGTACTTTTTAATGTCGCTCGGATTAAGTTTTAATCATTCGCTAAAGAGGATTATAGAAACCGTTATTACAGATTCAGCTGCAACATCTACACCAATATATACACAGACTATAATATATAATAATTGTATCATCTCCGAAAAAGAATAAAGAATTGAAAACATAAGCGGAGAGAATATTAAAAATGCTAAATTTTCTTATTTTTATTGAAATTTTATTTTATATCTCA